ATTATTATTATTATTATTATTATTATTATTATTATTGCCTTCAGTGGGCTGAGCATTCAGCCTAAATTGGATTATGTCAGAAACCTTATGAAAATAATTAGCCCCAACAGTTTCAGTGATGGAATTGCACTTTCTATCATTAATAATTAATTCCTGATTAAAATGATCCCATCATTCTGTCTGCACCAGTCCTCCTGATAAATCATTCTATAAAAGACCTTAAAAATTAATCAAGTGTCTTTTTTTTTTCAGAAGATGCAGGAAGAACTGTGAAAAGAAAGGACAAAGAATGATGGAAACTAGACGATGGAGATGGGTGTAGATGAGGGGAGCAGTAGAATGGTGCAGACTGAGAAACAAATAAAAAAAAAACGTACTGATGTGCTGCCAAACAGAGCAGAACAGAATTGTTTCCCCACTCGCCTACCATCCTTCTACACACACTCACACACGCAACCATGATAAAACACACACAAGCACATGGATTTTATTTTTTATATTATGGTAACTGAATTAAGCTTTTTAATCCCAAATGTAGAATGGATGAGAAGGCAGTTTGTTCTTGTCCAGGAGAAGCAGATGGATCTCACTGAGACCTAGAATAAAAATAAATAAATAAGAACAAAAAAGCACAGGTTCATTGTTGCCAGACTCGGTGTGTGTCTGTGCCTGTCGAGCTCAGGTCACTTCAGTTTTTCCATCCTGTTCCCAAGCTGAACAGTGGGTGGGGGGTGGACAAGATGTCCAGGGCCCCTTCAGTGCACAATCTGTGTGGACCTACATTATCTCCATGTGGATGGAGTGGACACCTATAAATACAAGATGACAAAATTGYATATCCATAATTCTTGTTTCCATCTTTTTATTCAGCAATCACCTCTACCACTTCCCAGCATAAATCTATACAGTGTTACACACATTATGTATGTATACTTAGCACAAAGAGAGGGGAAATTTGTRTTTAGTASATCATTTCTTTGTTGTTGGCAAWAAGGCACCTGATTGGCAGCACCAGAAGCTCAAGTGTCAAAAGCAACAGCAAAATAAACTGTTTGACAGAGAAGATTTGGCAAACTTTTCATGTGCATAAACACACTCAGCTCTACTAATGCATGTTCCTTAAAAATGTGGCACACTGTAAAAGGTAAATTAACAGGCATTGCAACAGTTTAAGATTTATTACCAAGAAGCATTACGACAAAATACGTATAACAAGCATCAACAAATTCCCCTTACGTTTTGTGCTGATCAAACACACACACACACACACACACAAATACTGTCTTGGCACTATGATGTTGCTTTTACATTAGAATGAAGAGAAATGTGATTGACTGCATAATATAGTAGTGAAAAGTTCATTTATTTCTGACCTAGAACAAGCTTTTTGCATGTTTCATTTGCCTTTTTTTGTTCAAATGATTTTACAGGCAACAGTGAATAGGACTATAAAAAGCAAAATAAAAATTAAAAGTTAAAAAAGGCAGCTTTGGTCAGTCCAAGCTAAGCACATAAAACAACCCATATGTCAGTAGGAAACAATCCTCAACATGAAGTGGTTGTGAGGACAAGTGCATGCAAAACAACAAAAAATGTGCGTTTTAACATTATCATTTAAAACCTATACTTGTTTTGTAACTTTATACAGYTCAAGTGATAAAATTCAAACCAAGGTGACAGGAGTGTTTCATTGGGTTCACTTCCTCCAACTGACCCTAACAAATATTTTTGTGTCAAATTAGCACTTGGTGGCTTTCCAAGCTCGTTTTTTTTCTCCAATTTGGCAACACGTGCAATATCTCCTAGCACCTGCAGGGTCATAACCAGCTAAACAAATTTTCCTTAAAATAACATTGATAGGAGAATCCCTCCCCCATCAATATTTAATAATTATTGCTCACTTGCACCTTTATCACAGGAGAGCTGCAATCTGACATCGTGGCCCTGATGGTAACATTTTGASCCATGTGGGTCAGAGAGGGGCCTTTTGCTTGTCCCTTCACGAATGTAGAACCATTTTTCTTCGACATCTCAGCATACAGATTGCTGTTGCACTCTCTGCCGACGTCAAAGAGTCCCACTGCGTACTCATTTGACTTCAGATTTATATTATAAGGCACCCTGAACGAAACAGCCATTTGCTCGGTGGCCCTCTGCGTGGAACGATCGAGGAGATCGTATTTGAAGACGCCGAAGAATCCTCGCCCTGTGTGGGGCGCTTTGGCAAAAGCGGCGCTGCCAGACGAGGATGGAGACATGCTGGGAGGTAAAGGGTCAATGCAGCGACCCCTGCAAACGTACAACCTGGACATTAAGAATGAGCGAAGTGGATTTAAAGTCAGCGTTAATAAAATAAGACAATAAATCACAAAAACAACCACATGACGTCTCTCACCCAGGGTTCTGAAGAACGTAACATTTTGTCAGATTTACTACATGAATGATGCATTGTCGATGTGGGGATGATTTATTCATGGCATCGCCGACTTCTATGGCGGTTTGCAAAATGCCAGCGCCGATGTTTATTATTTTTATTAGCTCCATTTCTTCAACTTCCTGGTGGGACACAAAGAAATCATTTCTGCAGGAATACATACACAGAATCTGATCAATTTAGTTAAGTTTGAACACAAGTTTCTACCTCATCCTCTTTATGGAACATAAAATCACTTTACATTCCTGTAAATTTCACTGTTTTTATGGATTTGCTGGGAATAAATATGGTCGATAATGGTCTAAAACAAGACATTCAAAATGTTACTTTGATCAGATTTTATGATCTGTTTTTCCTCTATAACAAAGTTTCCTCATTTTGAACTTGAACTTTGGCTTAAATTCATTTTCAGCATGTCTAACAGGACTAAATGGTCTTTAAAGTGCCTGTGACATGCATATCCTTCAAATACAAAAACCCAAAGAAAACATCTTTATATTTAAGAAATTGGCACTTATTTTTTAAAATTTATTCAGCTGAAGTGAAACAGGAAGTGACATCAAAGGGGAACTCTCTGCTCTTTGTTCAGTGAAACAATATCTGAACTTTGACTCTTCATCTCTCTGAAAGTGACTTAAAATGATCTACAGAGACATCAGAATCTTCACTACAGTCTGTGTTAACGGTTCTGTTTACATTCATTCCCTTTTGACATCACTTCCTGCTGCTGCATATGTGACTATCACAACAGCTATTCATGTCAGCAGCGTGAATTTTTATTTTGCAATATGTTTTCAATTATATCTGTCCAAATATGCATTCATATTAATTACAAAAAAATGATATCATAGGCACTTTAAAATATGTTTGTAAAGACAAAGGTAATAGTTGCACAACCTGAAACTGTATGGTCCTGCTAAGAGTTACAGCCCGCCAATAAAGATGTCAGAGAGGCCACAAAGTRAACAAGAACTTTGGTTCAATCTGCACTAAAATCTGAGAACATTTCTAAATTCACTTTTTATTTAGCAAAAAACATCCAGTGAGAACTGTAACAAGAAAGCATTACTACCACCCTATACAAACATTTTGTTTAAGCCATTGGAACTGTTAAAATTTAGGGAATTGGTAGATTATAGGATTCTGTTGATTATGTATGAGGCTCATAAAAATGTATTGCCACCTAATATACAATCCAATTTTGTTAGGAGGGATAGTGTTTATAATTTGAAGGGACTTGAAATGTTTGTGAAACCAAAAATTAAACTAATTTAAAGGAGAGATGCACCTCTGTTCGAGGAATTAATCACTGGGACAATGACTTTAAGAATGCTGGAACAATTTATTCTTTTGGTAGAATGCTTAAAAGCTTTTTAATGAGACATGAACAAAGTATTGGTTGAAATTGGTATTTCTGTTGTGATGTTGTTTTGTTGATTATTTTAAGTTAAAATGTGAATTAAGTGGAGTTTAAATTTCTGCATGTTGTACGTTTTGTAGATACAATTTTTTTTAAATGGGGGCAGATGTTACAAGATTGTTTTCTTCTTTCTGCTCCTTTTCATTTGACCATGTTGTGTTGTGCGTTTTTGACACAATGTTATTTGTATTGTTATGTTTGTCCAAATAAATAATCATAAATCATAAAATAAAATCAAAAAATACATCCTCTCCTAATAAATCACCCATGAAAAACATTGAGCTTGGATGCTATTTCCTTTTTCATTAAAAAAAAACCCCGTTGCAGAACATGATCAGCTTCTGTRTTCATACCTGAGATGAATGAACGCCAGCTCTCCTCAAACTAATTTATTGTGCCAGAGATGTCCTGAACCTCGTGTCCTTTAATAAAAACAAAACTGAGACAGTTTTGTTTTTTTCCCCAGTCTACAGCCTTGAACTGTTCCATGTGCCTGGGTTAGGCTCAGGATGATTGTGATTAGAAACACCTGAACAGGAAGTCAGCTCACCAGTGGCAGGTACAGAACTGTAGATGGTAAAAAGAGAAGAGACGAGTTCTTTACAATTAATARTAAAATGAGAACAGCTATATTGTTACAGCTCATTCTGCTCCAATCTAATTATTGTAACGATATGTTAACTTCACTTCACATTGCTTGATAAATTGCCCAGGTGCTCATTTTTCTGGAACACTGCAGGCYTTATAAACTCCAGTTACATGAAAACATGGAGTTTTGAGAGTTGTCTTCCAGGAAAAAGGTGAACTGACTCGATCAGGGCTAATTGCACCTGATTTAATGTGGTACATATAACACTAACAATAAGCTGTTGCACACAGACAGATGGTAGTTTTCATACAGTCACATCAAAACATTGAGATCATGTCGAAGACATTACATGAAATTATCTTTGGCTAAATAGAGAAAYATGCAATCAAATAGACTAAACTTGAACTTCTCAATAATATGGACTGTACTGATCTGGTGTCTTGTCACAGGTCATTTGAATAGAGGCTAAATTTACTCCAAACWACAGCTGTTTTAGTCCTTTGTGTGCATGTAAAATAAATAAACGACAAAGCTGAAACCAAGCCTCTCAAAYTGACTCATGGTTTAACAAATTTTCTGAATGAATTTGATGCACAAAAATAAACTTGTGCTGCACAGAAATTGGATTTTGAGAGCCAGTTCATGCAATTTACACGCTGAGGTGGAGTGTGCTTATTGCCGGTCTTCAAGAAAGCTCAGTTCATGTAATTCTCAGTGTAAGAGAAAACGATCTCATGCAGTGACCCTCTCGGGGTAATTGGATTCACATTTGATTTTTTTGAGTTATTCTTTGAGAGCYTTCAACAATATTAGGTTGTTTGGAGGAATTTGAGAGGCAAGCCACTGACAAGAGAAATTCTGGCTTATAAACTTAAGCTCAGAAGGTGTTACAGATTTGAAGTCCAGACTGAGTGTGGGCTAGACCAAACTCAACCACACCTTTATACACTTAGCACAAAACTGAAGTTTTTGGTAGATTTGTTACAGTTGTACTTTTTGGCAATATATCTTATTCCTTATCCCTTTYAAAATGTTGCCACATTTGAAAGGAACATGCATTCGTAAGTAGAGCTGTAGTGCAGAGTATGTGGGTTGCACACATTTAAAAAAAAWTAGTTTATTTTGCTGTGGTTGACACTTGTTGAGCTTCTGGTTCCCTCAGGTGCCTGGTTTAAGATTTCTTGCCAACACAGGATCTACCAAACAAATTTTCTCAATTTATACAAGATTTAGTTGATGCTTTGTGAACAGTGTTGGAAAACAGCTTTCAAGAATGAAATACAAAAGTCCCCTACACCTAAAGAAGAGGCACTTCATTATTTTGGAGGGAGAGAAAAAAAATTCCACTGCAGATGATGTTTTCTGCAGCTTGGAAAAATTTTTTACTTTTACATCTTGTAAAATCACAGCAATTAGTTCACTTTTAATGTCCAAACTTGTGATGTTTGAATAAAAAAAATTGCATAAAACCATGTTATATACAGTAGGAAAGTAACCATGCCAGAAAAACCAAGGGGTTTATCCGACAAACCATCCTTTCATAGTTTTACATTAGAAAATAAAATACAAAAAAGTGGGGCAGCTTTTACAGATGTTCCAAACCATTGTCTTTCTAGAATTTGAATGTAAAAACTTGCTTTTCCACACAACAAAAACAGTGTCTAAACATCCATGAACATTGTGAACTACAAGATTCTTTTAGCATGCCTGTACCACCTCAAAAGATAACAATTTGAGTGAAACCAAAATGTTTTTAAAAACAGTCTTCACTTTCAACTCATTCAAAACTAAAAATAAAAATGCTTTGAAAGTCAAAGTGTTGAGAACTTCAGGGTTTCCTGGTCACTAAAATGCACAACCACCATAGCTTGATAGAGATTGGACATCATGGCCTTGATCGTAACATTTTGGTTCGTGTGGGTCAGAAAGGAGCCTCCAGCTTTGTTTTTGGTGAACCTTGAGCCCGTGTTCTTGGACATCTCGCCGAAAAGACTTTCCTCACTCTCTTCGATGTCGAAGACTCCCACAGCGAACTCGTTTGAGCTCAGGCTCAAGTTGTATCGCACCTTGAAGAAGACGGCCAGTCGTTCCGTGGCTTTTTGCGTGAATTTGTCGAGAAGGTCGTAGGTGCAGACGCCAGAAAATCCTTGTCCTGTGAAGGAGGTCTTGGCAAAAACTGCACTGCCAGATGAGGAGGGTAGGATTATAGGAGGCATGGGGTTCACACAGGTTCCTTTCCAAACAAACATCCTGGACATCAAGAAGCGGAGAAATTTAAAGCTTTTTTTATTGGAAAGGGGTAAATTAACACA